TTGGAAAAAGAACAGCGAGTAAATTTAATCTTTTGACTTTATACTGTCAAAGTTACCCGCATTATCAAAGATACCCCGTTTTACGGTACACAGAACTCTTGACGAAAATTTCTTAGAAAATCCGACGAAAAATTTTGAGATCTTCCGATTAGAACTTCACAAAATTTCCTACGAGAAGTTCAAAGATCTTCCGAGAATTTCCGATAAATCCGTGAACTACTGACGATAAATTCCGAGAACTTCCGAAGAGAAGTTCATCCAAAAGAGCAGCATAATCAGAAACATAATCCATCCCGAAAAGGCAATACGTTTCCTGGAACATGCAATAGGGGTAATATGATGTTGCAGAAAAATCCATTGTGGGATTTCATATTCTTGTAGATACACACTTAGAAATAACTACTTTTACACGAGACGTAATCCATATTGGACGTAAATCATAGAACGTAAACAAACATTTCATGTAAAATTAAGTGTTCCTTAACCGAAACATCAGCTAGTCGACGAAGAGAACGTTTGATTGAATTGATTTTCACGTTTCTTTCAACTGATTCTTATGTCAAAACGCCCGCTTACATGTGTCGGTCTCAGGGAACCGAAATTTACATGACTTTTTAGTAGTGTGTAGTTTTAATCACTTGCTGCTTCCTCCCGAATATGATGCGTATAACTTTTCCGAGCTTATTTGCTGCAGCCAGAGCTGGCAAATGTCAATTTCAATGAAAGATCTCACGCGATATTTACAGAGATACTTCTGTCACTATCATCGGATAAGAAAACGATGATAGAGATTTTCTACAAAATCTCATCGAATTTTTGTCATGACAGAACGTGACAGTGTTGTAATCATCGTAATTACTAGTTCAGTTTTTGCTATTAAAGTTACTTGTACCGAGAAAATCTTAATAATATATTCACTCTACCGATTACATATGGTTGCTAGCTTAAATTCATTTGAATTAGTTATAAATGTTGATGTCAAAACCGCATAAGAATTATTCTCATCAGAGCTTGATCATTGGACAATGACAAGAAAGCTAATGATAGGTAGTTTTGTCTCATGATAGTGAGAGGACCTGTTTTCTTATTGTCACATGACGGCCGTGATATTTACCACCTCTGGCTGCAGCCGATTGGATTGTTCAGGAAGATGATGAAGATGATGAAAAATAATGCGACCCGCGGAAGAACGTTCCGATTATGACCAAGCCGTATCAAACTTACGTAAGGTAGCTGTGGTCGGAACAGCTACAGTGATCAGCGAATCGGATTCTGCAAACATAAACAGAAACACGATATTCGATGCTCGTGCATATGTTTGTGGGGAGCGGTGAGAGCAGATTTTGTTTTGGCTTAATTTTTTTAAAAACTTGAGATTTTCTCTAATTAGCCTTTTTAATGTACCACGAACGTAGAGGGCACCACGCAAGTTCGAGAGGAAACGTCAACCAAACAGTTTGTTTACACCAGAAGAAGGATTTTTCACAACACAAATTAAAGCATTTTTCATTGAACATCTTGCTAATTTCCATCAGTAATTGTCTTATTTTACGATTTTCCACACATCTGAACTGATTTGCACCTAAATTATTCACACACAAGAAATCCGGAAGATCATAACCACTAAGGCACTATTGGAATTTTGCATTTTTCTCAACAAAAATATTCCTGAACACTAGCAGAATCCTTGCAAATATGATACAGAATTAATTTTTTTTAACTATGGATCAAGTTTTCGAGCATCTCAGATGAATCAATTTATTAGGAAAAGTGAAAAAGTTTTCCGCTTCCAATGTATCACGGCAGAAATTTCTGCTCACAACACTCTTTTTGACGTTCTCATATTCACCACCAGAGGTTGAATCGATCGCTTAGTTTCTATTAAAAAAGCGTATACGCTGAACTCGGCATGGTGCTTAGCAAAATCCTCGATTGAGCTCAAGAGAGATAATTAATCATGTTTTTTTGTTTTTGACATCATCCACATCCAGAGGGCCAGTCATTTTCGGATGTATGGGAATGGTAGGAAACCATTTGGAAATGCATGAAAATTTTATGGGCAGTTTTAGATGCACAAAAATTGCACGAGTACTTTACTATGGTGATAAGGTAAACACTCGTTTATTTTTTTCCTTCTATGAAAGCATGTTTAGTCACAAATCGTGGATTTTCTGATATTCTCCATACTGCCAAAATGATTTTCCTACCACTGAAGGGGCGACATCTCTCGGATCTTCAGTATAGCTACTACTCAAATCATATGATTAATTCCCGGATACAATACACCGATACGCGCGCTTTTCTTCTCATTTCTACGCCATCTTCCAGCAAACTTCAGAAGCATGATCGTTAATTGAAGCTTTCGATCTGAACTCATCTACCTTTTTTTTCTTTATTTTTTTTCCGTCGATCTTGTTTTCCGTGCTGAGCACCAATGCTACCGACACCAGGAAGGCAGCTCCCACACCTGGACCCTACCTATCGATCCAACAACTCATGAACCGGGGACCAACGGCTTTACTTCCCTCGTCATCAGAGATGTTATGCCTCAGAACATCCCGGCGGCGCCGACTGGGATTGAACCCAGGCCTTCTGGGGTAAGAGGTAATCATGCTTTCCACTACACCTCCGGCGCCACTAACTCATCTACCGTTGAATTGCGGCACATTTGTCAACAATGGTGCATACTAGAAAATGTGACGCATCACCTTTCTTCGGTAGCTCTGCGCGCAGTGGCAAAATGAATTGTGCGAGATGCCAGAAATCATTCCATCTTAAATGCGCTGGATTGACCACCAACCAATTCAAATTCGTTCGGGATTGTCCTGGTGCTGTTTGGATGTACCTGATTTGCCGTATTACTACCGATTCCTGCTGTTGGGCCGCATCCGCCTATTTCAACTAATGATGTTCGTAGAGCAAGCCTTCGTTTGAAAAATTCTTTCAGCACTGGCCCTGACGGAATCCCTTCCGCGGTTATTAAGAACTGTATTGGAATGCTGGCCGCATCTTTAGCATCCATCTTCAACCTCTCTTTGGATTCTGGGATCTTCCCCGACTGCTGGAAGGATTCTTTTGTTTTCTCTTCAAAAAAGGCAAAAAAACAGTCGGTGTCCAACTACCGTGGTATCGCTGCTTTATGTGCAGTCTCAAAAGTTTTTGAACTATTGGTGCTAGATTATTTAAAACACACATGCTCTAGTTACATCGCGACTGAACAACACGGATTTATACCGAAGAGGTCGACCACTACAAATCTCGTTCAATACACATCATCAATCATACGCGACATTGAAAGAGGTCATCAAGTGGATGCTATCTACACCGATCTTTCTGATGCTTTTGAATCAATCACGAGATTGCAGTGGCCAAACTAGAGCGACTTGGTTTTCACGGTTCCCTTCTTGATTGGCTTCGCTCATACCTCACCGGTCGACATATGTCAGTGAAGATAGGAGATCAATTTTCTCAACCGTTCGCTGTTTCTTCTGGTGTACCTCAAGGCAGTCATCTGGGACCGTTCATACTTTTATTGTACCTGAATGACGTTCACTTTTCGATCCGTTGCCTGAAGCTGTCTTATGCTGACAATTTCAAACTATACTTTGTCATCAAAGATCGAAGTGATGCATTGTTTCTACAGCAGCAGCTGGACGTTTTTACTGTTTGGTGTGACAAGAACAGGATGGTATTAAATGCTTCTAAATGTGCCATTTTAACGTTTTCCAGGAAATAATCACCTATCTGTTATGCTTACAGCCTGCAGGAGCAAATATTAAGCCGTGAATCTACTATTCAAGACTTAGGCGTCCTACTTGATTCACAACTCACCTTCAAGGACCATGTGGCTTATGTTTCCGCTAAGGCGTCTTCTCAAACTTGGTTTCATTTTTCATTTCGCCAAAGACTTCAGGGACATTTTCTATTTAAAAACACTCTATTGTTCGCTAGTCCGCTCCACGTTAGAGTACTGTTCCGTAGTATGGGCTCCTTTTTACAGCAACAGGGTGAATCGTATTGAGGCCACTTAGCGAAGATTTGTACGTTTCTCTCTTCGTTGGCTACCCTGGAGTGATCCTTTCAATCTTCCTAGTTATGAAAGTCGCTGTAATTTGATGTCCCTACAATTACACACTTAGAAATACTTAAATTTACACGTGACGGAATCCATCTTTGACATAAAGGATGAGACGTAAACAAACATGTCATGTAAAATTATGTGCTCCGAGACTGAAAAGTTCGAAAGTACGTTTGATTGAGCTGAATTTTGCGTCTATTATGACTCAATTTTATGTCAAAATTGACGTCGTATATGTCAGTCTCAGAGCACCTAAATTTAGATTAATTTTTCTGAGTGTGTACTTAGTGTTTGCAGAGTTGTCTCTAAGGCTACCTTCATCGCTGATGTCCTACGATCGGACATTAATTGCGGTTCACTTCTGCAGGAGTTGAATGTCAATATCAGACGAGTAAATTAACGTTCTTATTATTTTTTCAATATCCCGGCTTCTCGCACAAACTACGGCGCTAATGAGCCTTTTAACTAGAATGCGCAAGATTTTCAACAAGTGTTATAACTGCTTTGATTTTAATATCTCCCGTGTTAGGCTTAAGAATCTGTTTTATAATGTACTTTTAACTTCCTGGCGGTTTCTGTTTTTTGTATTTAAATTAAGTTAAATAAAAATTAATAGATACGGTTAGATCCACACACTAAGATATACCTAATTTTACACGTGACGGAATCCATCTTTGACATAAAGGATGAGTGGTAAACAAACATGTCATGTAAAATAAAGTGCTCCGAGACTGAAAAGTTCGAAAGTACGTTTGATTGAGCTGAATCTCGCGTCTATTATGACTCAATTTTATGTCAAAATTGACGCTCGTATATGTCAGTCTCAGAGCACCTTTATTCACATGAATTTTTTTTAAGTGTGCAATTAGGAGAGTACTTAATTAAAAAAAGGGATTTTCGGATGTCAATTTTAAAGCAAAACTTATTTTCAATAAAAGTTTTATTTTCGACATGCTTACAACCCAAACAGACAGACACAACGTCGCGGTGTACGCTGGCAGAATAGTTCACATCTTACTTTTGTAATTGCCACACCTTAACATGGTGTTCCTACGTTTATCTTAAGCATTTCCCAACTGCTAGAATTCAGCTCAGGATTGAACATTAGAAGAACCTCTTAAACATCGAATATTTACAAATCATTGTCCTCACTAGGAAATAAATAAGTTACGGTACTTAGACTACAGACCTAGGCATATGTATATGTGTGCGTGCGTACATTTCCATATATTTTTTTCCTCTATATACAAATCGAAACAGTATGTGCTCTTTTTCTGTCCGTATGGAACTTAACCACTAAGAATCATTTAAAGCTCGTACTGTGCGCATCATATTTATAATCTTACCACATCGCTAAAGCTTAATCAAGTATTTCATAAATAAATGCTACCGCCTAAACAAGTGCAGGACTGGTCGAAATTTGCACAGTAATTCAACACTTACACTTATTCTTCCTACAGCTGAGAGCGAACATCTAAGCGTGTTTGTTTTCGACTCCTCTTTTCCCGTTTTCGTCTGCGACAATCATCGCCGAAAGATTTTCACTTAAGTACATAATACACATTATTTAGATTTCTACGCAGCTATCTCAGGAACTCTTAACCTATTTTTTTCCGTTACCCGAAACACACGGACACACGAACACACACACACAACCACTCACAGTTCGGAAGCATTACTTCTGAAACGATTTCACTGGTTTGTCGTTCTCTCTGGGGGGGATCAATACTTTTAATGTTATAGAAAACTCACAACTTATACTCGTTTATGCACCGTCATGGAAGAAGCTCACCTAAAGTTAGTAAGGAAAACGAAAACGCATACATTCAATTGAAGATTTGTTGGGTTTTCTGATTTTTACTGAAATTTACTCACGATGACTTTTTGTATTAAACTTTAAAATAGATTCGTGGAAAAAAGTGATTTTCGGCACCGTCGAGCTCGCATTATGAGCAGATTATTAAAAAAATGAAAAAGGATCGAGAATTCAAAACTGTATTTTATTAGCAGCGCCATCTCTGTAGAAAATGACCTGACGATATGATTCATTTACGCAAAGTTTTATACAAATCGGAGAAGGTCGATTTAAAAATTCGTTTTTTTTTCTCGATTTTGCCTGGAACTGCTCAATTTCTTTCAAATGATCCGGAATATTAATTTGATTTAATTCTACACGGCTAATGAGAACGACCCGATTTTTAGTTTAGTTCACTCATAAATCACATAAAGTGTAGAAACAGCGATGAGCATTTTTCCAGGCAAAATTTTCCGAATATGAGAAAAGTAAAGATTGGATTGACTCAGTCTTTTGAAACTACTCCTAGACTGAGTAAAATTTCCGTAAATTTTCTTCATTTTCCGGTAGCTTTTTGAGGTTTTGCACAGGAAACCATGAGGCAAATTTACTCATCGCTGAGTTCCTGTACTTTTGGCGATTATGAGTGAACTAAACTCAAATTTGGGTCGTTCTCATTCGCCGTGCAGATACTGCTTCATAATTTGCCTTGTTTTCCACTGAAAAAGTTTGCAATTATGTTTTCATAAATTTTCATAAACATTGAAATCATTGAAATCCTTAAATCATCACAATGATTTTACTCAAATCATTATATTATTCAATTTTCCAATGAATCACATCCATAAGTCACTTTTAATACACAAATCTCCTAAATATACTCAGTACGCTTTCACTCATTTCACTCCCACAAGCATTCATTTATCTTCCAATAAAATAAAAATCAACAAAAAATGTAATACTACAAACGTGTACCGCGTCGCCCATGGCATTGATCGTAAATTGAAACACACATACACACACTCACTCAACTCACGTGCTCCTCCGGATTTAAACCGCCCAAACCATCGCCATCCGGAATCAGAGTTTCCGCTCCTCGAGCGACGCCGAAGAGGACGACGCCGCCGAAAAATCCTCCTCGCTTTCCGCCGAATTGACGAGCCTCGAGTGATGCTGATGCTGGTGCTGCTGGTTCAGATGGCGCTTCTTGTGCGGCTTGGCCTGCGAGTGGTGCGCGTGGACCGACGGCTGATGCTGCTTGATTTCGACCGTTTCGTCCATTTCGTACGAGTTGCCGAATGCGGACGAAGCGGAACCGGCCGCGGACGACGAGGAGGCATTCTCCAACCGGTACCGGACGCTGCCTCCGTAGTGGTGCTTCTGCTGCTGGCGGAACATGCGATGATGGTGGTGCTGGGCGGTGAAGTAGTGCGGATGCTGCGGGATCGTCTTGTGCATCATGATGTCTATGCGGGGGACGCTGCAAGTGGGCAATCGGTTAGTGACCATTGTGTTAGTGACCTTGACCGTCTGGGGGAACTTACTGTGGCACATCGTCCATTTCATCAGAGGACCATGAGAGTGAGTTTCGGAAAAAGTTCCATGGAAGTACGGTTGCTGTTGCTGGAAATGAGACGCAAAGATGCAAGGTTAGTGAGGATCGCAATTCGGATGCCGACGGGATTACACATTAATGGGCACAACAAACGAGCAGTAAAACAATCATTTTAGCAGCGGCGGCGGTGGTGGTGACTCTCACCGGTAAGCAATTTGTTGCGGGAAGCATATTTGCGCAGATGTGCATATTGCAACAGCAGTAAGTGGAAAATAAATGGTCAATAAAATAAATTGCGAAAAACAAAAACAAAAATCAATCCGAAAGCAAACGCAAAATCTTCGTGCAGCCGAGAGTTGGTTCAAATTAATGGTGAATGGTAAATAAATCAACAACACAGCAATCAGTTTGGTTGAGTTAGTGGCATTGGTTGGTATGCAGCAAATAAATACATCGAAATTGCAACTGAAAATGGAAATTTGATTCGCTGTTTGGCGGTTCGATTTACCTCCGATCCTTGGGGACGCGCTTGGGGTGGAGATGGATATTTGGTTTTTACGGTTCGATCGATCTAGGTTGGGAAATTCCCAGTGGGGTTACGTCAAAGATGTAGAAAGAGCATTCCACGTGGCTCCACTTCTACCATTGCGTGGAGCATCCAAGTAAATTTTTAAAAATGTGCTTTATTTGCCATATCCTCCCCCCCCTCTAAACAGTCCATGTGGTATATGGACAGCCCCTAAGTCTATTGGTCCTATGATTGAACCAATTTATGCATGCATTTTCCGGGTCAATGGCGTTGAACATTATCTTGTTTGATTCTAAGTTCAACGGTAGGCTCAGCATACTTTGTAGCACTTGCTTAACAGATCTCTTAAACAGGGGTTTCTCGACCGGCCCATGAATCAATTCAGCTCTACAAAGCCGAATTGACGCCAATTTAGCAGATTTTTCCGTTTGAGGTTGAAGTGGATGTTGTTAAATACGGTTGAAGATCATACAAGAAGTCTCAGAAGACCAACCCTGGGGCAACTTGACAGCTCCCATATATTTTCTGTGTAACCCGAAAATTTGGTGCTGGTGGTTCTGTGAAACTCACAAATTTCATAAGTGTTATCTGAATAAGGCGAATGCGGAAATGATGTACAGAAATACAATTTTGGTTTAGGATTTGGTTTTGGATTTCCGGACAAACTGACGCGATTGGTCAAGGCGACGATGGATCGAGTGATGTGCGTTGTTCGAGTATCGGGGACACTCTCGAGTCCCTTTGAATCTCGAAGGGGGTTACGGTAAGGTGATGGACTTTCCTGTCTGCTGTTCAACATCGCGTTAGAAGGTGTGATCAGAAGAGCTGGGATAGACACGAGTGGCACGATATTCAGGAAGTCCATCCAGCTCCTTGGCTTCGCCGATGACATTAGCATTATGGCACAGAACTTTGAGATGATGGCGGAAACGTACATCAGACTGAAGGCTGAAGCTAGACGGATTGGACTTGCCATCAACGCATCAAAGACAAAATACATGAAAGGAAGGGATTCTAGGGAAGACAATGTTAGCCTCCCACCCCGAGTTCAGATTGACGGTGACGAAATCGAGATGGTCGATGAGTTCGTGTATTTGGGCTCACTGGTGACCGCCGAAAATGATACCACACACTTAGAAAAAATCATGAAAATTTCGGTGCTCTGAGAGTGACATATACGAGTGTCAATTTTTTCATAAATTTGAGCCATAACAGACGCGAAATATAGCTCAATCAAACGTACTTTTCGTCTAGCAACGAACTTTTCAGTCTCCGAGCACTTAATATTACATGACGTGTTTGTTTACGTCTCATCTTTTATGTCAAAGACGGATTCCGTCAGGTGTAAAATTAGTTATTAGTGCACCAGAGAAATTCAAAGCACATTATGGCAGGGAATCGTGCCTACTTTGGACTCCGGAGGACGCTCCGGTCGAATAAAATTCGCCACCGCACGAAGTTAACTGTTTACAAGACGCTGATTAGACCGGTGGTCCTCTACGGTTACGAGACCTGGACTTTGCTCGTGGAGGACCAACGCGCCCTTGGTGTTTTCGAACGGAAGGTGTTGCGTACCATCTACGGTGGAGTGCAGATGGAACGTGGAGGAGGCGAATGAACCACGAATTGCACCAGCTGCTGGGAGAACCATCCATCGTCCACATTGCAAAAATTGGGCGACTACGGTGGGCTGGGTACGTCGTAAGAATGCCGCACGACGACCCAGTGAAAATGGTTCTAGAAAGCAACCCAACAGTAACAAAAAGAAGAGGCGCGCAGCGGGCAAGGTGGATCGACCAAGTAGAAGGTGACCTGCGGACCCTTCGCAGACTACGAGGCTGGCGAACTGTGGCCATGGATCGAGTAGAGTGGACACGACTTCTTCGGCCAGCAAAGGACAACAAGGCCTTAGCCTGATTGGCAAGGTAAGTACCGTAGATCCGTAGTAAATCTAAAAATCCTTAGATCTACGGATAAACCCGTAAAACTAACCACACTGCTGATGGTGGAAACGATTTGGCAGACCCTGTTGTGGACGAACATTTTGGCTCTATTCTTGCCTAATCAGTTTTTATCGACCTGCCATCAGATCGACCGTTTTGCCAGAAAGCGCTGTGGAAGGCAAATTTTCGCACGAACTGGATAGTGATGTCCGTGCAAGAGAATACCCAAGTAACATTGGAAGTTTTATTGGGCTGTAAACCAGAACGCATTGCCTGTTGCATTAGGGGAGACCTCGAACCACTCGATCCAGTCGCGCTAGCTGTTTCCCGCCATCAAGGTCGTTCTATTTGCTGCCATCAGCGTCGTTCTGGACCTGCGGTCGAGTTCGATGGTGAGGTCTCCCAACCATCGTCTTCAGGCAAGTATGCATACATTAGTTGCAGTAATTTTCCTGATCAGCTTCCGTGTTCCAGTGCAACGCCCCAAGCATCTGCCGGCTGTTTCCAGTTGAGAAGCACTTCTGATACTGCTCATTCACAACATCCGCTTTACTGTTCGAACAATCCTAATTCATCTCCGGGACGCACAATAGACCGCTCTTTGGAAGCTCCTGGTTCCTCCAGCCCAGTCGTGCCGATTCCTGCCAGCGTTCAGCATAGTCGTCCTGGCCCTGTGGCTGGATATGAAGCAGGAGTCTTCCACCTTGCCTCTACAGGCAAGTACAATGAATATATTGATTGCCTGATGCCGATCAATTTTTCAGCAATTTGGACTATGTTGGTCATTGTGATGATGCCTTTGTAACTCCCAATCCTGGGAACCCGGAACGCGCCGTAGAAAGCTCCCAATCCCTTCGTCTCAGTCCTGCCATCAGCAGCCTTCGTTCATCATAGTCGTTCCGGACCAGCTGTCGGATGTGGAGAGGGGCTTGGAAAAAAATCCGTTCCCGAAAATGGGAACGGACCGTGAACTAAAAATCACGGCCAGCTATCCAGAACAAAATTTTCTCAAATATACACCGTGAACTATGGTTCACGGCTGTGGTTCACGAATATGGGAACTCTTTTTTTCCCGTGGGGGCTTCCAACCCACTCACTATGGCGAGTATCCACTCAGGCTTGATGATGGTCAGTTATTGCCTGATGTATCTGTGATTTCCAGGGAGAGCAGTCGTTCGATTCCTTGCCGCAAGCAGGACGTCGTAATCTTCTATGAATGAATTCTGATGTTGAAGAGTACCGTCTAGCTGTATCGGATTGTTGCTACGATGTAATTGTCCTGTGCGAAACGTGGCTCGATAATCGAACGCTTTCCAGTCAAGTCTTCGGTCCTGACTACGAGGTATTTCGTTGCGATCGGAATCCTAACAACAGCCGTAAATCTACTGGTAGAGGTGTCCTTGTAGCTGTCCGTGGCGGGTTGGACGCAAAGGCCATCGAGAACGATTCATGGTACTATGTGGAGCAGGTATGGATAGACATCAATCTGGGTGATCGCACACTTTTTCTATGCGCTCTGTACATTCTACCTGATCGATTCCGGGACAATGAACTCATCGATACTCACTGTCGGTCAGTTTTCACAGTTATCGAAAGTGCCACTCCAGTTGATGAGATATTCATTTTTGGTGACTTCAATCTGTCAGGCGTTACGTGGAGTCCACCTCATAGCAGATTCCTGTATCCAGATCCCGATAGCCCTTTATTTCACGCAGGAGCTATTAGCCTTCTCGACAACTACAGTGCAGCAACGTTTTCTCAAATTAACCATGTAGTTAACGAAAATGATCGTAGTTTGGACCTCTGCTTCGTGAGAACACAGGACAGGGTTCCATTTCCTCGGTTCCTATTGCACTAACTACGCTAGTTCGTGATTTCGACAATTATCCTGCTACGGTTTCTTATGACTTCCGTGAAGCTGACCACCGTAGCATCATAGATGCATTGTCTAGCATGGTATGGGAGAACATCCTTGATCCAGATGACGTTGAGGCTGCAGCGCAAACGTTTTCACATGTCTTGGCATATGCCATTGACAGACACGTCCCGAAAAGAACTCATCACAAAGTGTCTCACCCTCCCTGGCAGACGAGAGAGTTCCGTAGGTTGAAGTCAATCAAGAGAGCAGTATTGAGAAGATTTACGAAGTATCGCACGCTTCCTCTGAAACTACATTATGTGCTTTTCAAGTTTCCAACGAGGAATCCAGCGCAAACTTAAGTTACACCCGAAATCCTTTTGGAACTACGCGAACGAGCAACGCAGGGTATCTGGCCTCCCATCGTCTATGGAATTCAACGGAGAAGTTGCTGCCACCGTTCAGGATATATGCCGCCTCTTTTTCGACAACTTTGCTGGTGTATTCTCTAATGAGATACTAACTGACGACCATAATAACCTGGCAGCCAGGAACGCTCCAGTAAATAATCAAACGCTGGGTGCAATTGATGTTAATACTGAGATGATTTCTAAGGCCGCGACTCTGCTCAAGTCATCCTTCAATCCTGGACCTGATGGAGTTCCATCTGTATTTTTGAAAAGACATATTTCTAACTTGTTGATTCCACTTCATCACCTGTTCCGAATGGCTCTCTCCAGTGGCATATTTCCATCTTCCATAACTATAGAGGAATTACATCGTTAAGTGCCGTTTCTAAGCTATCCGAGCCAGTGGGAACCGTTGCTGTCCCATTGCAAGCAGTATTTGAGTGCTGATCAACATGGGTTTACTGTCGGCTGCTCTACAACCACCAATTTACTATGTCTCACATCGTATATAACCGAAAGCATGTCGGATCGGGTTCAAACGGACGTTATTTATTCAGACCTATCCGCAGCATTCGACAAGTTGAACCATGCTATTGCGATTGCTAAACTTGGCAGGCTCGGTGTATGCGGTAATCTTCTGAGTTGGTTTCGATCATATCTTACAGGTTGCCAACTAAAGGTTGCCATAGGAGCTTGCAGATCAGCTAGCTTTTTCGCCACATCAGGTATACCTCAGGGAAGCCACATGGGACCGTTGATTTTTATACTGTACTTCAACAACGTGCATCTGGTCATCGAAGCTCCTCGGTTATCATATGCAGATGAACTCAAAATCTTCCTAGGAATCTGCTCCATTGCTGACTGTCACTTTCTTCAACGTCAGCTGAATGTATTCGCTAGTTTGTGCAGTTTAAACAGAATGGTAGTGAACCCAGCCAAATGCTCCGCTGTTAAGTTCTCACGAAAACAACAACCGATAATATTAAGCTATGACCTGCTTGGTTCGACAATCGAACGCGTGAATCAGGTGAAAGACTTGAGTGTGATCTTGGATTCGCAGCTTTCATTCAAGCAACACATTGCATATGTTGTCGATAAGGCGTCAAGAACTTTAGGGTTCATTTTTAGGATAGCTAAAAACTTCACTGATATCTACTGTCTAAGTAGAGTCTTGAGTATTGTTCAGCGGTTTGAAACCCAAACTACAACAACGGTGCCGAGAGAATTGAATCTGTTCAACCAACGTCGCTTTCTTCGTTTTGCGTTGCGTAGATTGCCTTGGAATGATCCGTTTCGATTATCCAGTTACGAAAGCCGTTGTCAACTTATAGACCTAGAACTTCTCCGGACTAGAAGGGACACAAGCAGAGCCCTAACCGTGGCCGATATCCTTCAAGGAAGGACAGATTGTGAGGCTATCCTGAGGGTAAGACTGCCTATACGTCGCACAAATTATGGAGCATACTGTGCGATTTCCGGACTGCAGAGAATATTCAACAGAGTTATAGTTATAGATAGATATAGATAGATTCGTTCGTGAAATATTCCTATTTTGTTGGTTGAATTTGTTACTTGTTTAATTATTTTCCCAATTTTTACTAAACACCAAAAAAATTGCTGAATAAATTCTCCGTCGAATGACATATTTTACGACATATTTCCCTTTATTGGTTTTGATAAATATGTGTTTGAAAACTGCCCTCATTTTTGTTACATGCCTCATTTTCGATTTCATAATGTGCCCCAGTATAGTAAAGAAATACGTCAAAAGCGGCCGGGATTTGAGTAGGATCTATTCATATCGGTAAAAAGTGAAACTACTCATCTAAAAATAGTAAACTAAGTTGGGATTGAGAAATTAGGTTTACAAATGTTGTCTTTTTTTCAATTTATCACTCCTAACTTAGTTTAATCTATTGCGGATAAACTCCACGATAGTGGGCTTTCACCAATTATGAACAACTATTTGAGCAACTTGTTGTCTGAGAAATATATGAGCTTTACTCGCGGGTGTTCTCCCACTGCCAGATCGTTTCGCTGAGCTGTCTTTCCGGTTTCTCATCCGTTGTGAAGTAATGAATCCTTTGGTAATAGAACACTTTGAGAAGCTGCTCGACCGAAATCCTCAAACAAGATTCATGAGTTTGTACTATGAGTACATGACGCTGGAGGTTGGTACTTCTCCATTAATCTCCAATCGTGATTGTTTTCAAGCCTTCTATAGTTCCTCTGTAAATTTTGATCTGACCATGATGCAAGAAATCCATGGAATACCAGATCACCATCGGTCGATCAACCATAAATGCTTCCACTGGATTTGGTGTATTTAATAAATTTTAAAGCGCCTCCTATAAACTGCAGAAACCATGCTCCGTATACGTTGCGGAACTCGCAGCCATATTTTACGCGGTAGAGCGAATTGCCTCACTATCTTCTGACCATTATTTCATTTTTACGGATAGTCTTAGCTCATTGGAGGCTATTCGTTCAATGAGGCCGATGAAGCACTCCTCGCATTTCCTGCCTGAAATAAGATCTAAACTGAGTGCTTTATCTAACTGCTCCTATACTATCACCTTAGCTTGGGTCCCATCTCATTGCTCAATTCCGGGTAATGAGAAAGCGGACTCATTGGCTAAGCTGGGCGCTATGAAAAGCGATATTTTTGAGCGACAAATCGCCTTCAACTAATTTTTCTCCATTGCTCGTCAGCAAGTCCTCTTCAGTTGGCAACAAAAATGGAATGATGGTGAATTGGGAAGATGGTTACATTCTATTCTCCCACAGGTGTCGAACAAACCATGGTTCAAAGGGTTGGACATGAGCCGCGACTTTATACGCGTTATATCAAGTCTTATGTCCAATCACTGCTCGTTAGACTCGCACTTCTATCGAATTGGGCTCTCAGGCAGCAATTTATGTCCGTGTGGCAGTGGTTATCACGATATCGAGCATGTTGTTTGGTCATGTGCCTTACACCGTGTTGCCAGATCTGAGTTATCTACATCCCTCAGGGCCCGAGGAAAACAACCTGCGATACCCGTTAGAGATGTCTTGGCGAGCCGAGACCTCGACTATTTGAATTTAATTTATGTGTTTTTAAAACGGATAGATTTGAGGATTTAGTAGTTAGTGACCTCTTGTGTTTTCCCAAGTTGTTAGCTGCCCATCGATGTACCCCTATGTTTGTCTTTTTCATCAGAGTGTCGCCTAGTTCCAGATCAAGAGCACATTGCTCTCCAAACCTTGTGTTCACAATTCCTACCCTGCCATGCATTTGTTACAATTTGTTACCCCTAACCTCGAGATAGCCGCGAGTAGTCGGCCCCCGCTTTACTAACGCTAGTTTTAAGTAATTTTGTTATCTAAACAATGAATATCGGCTCCGTAAAGCTACAGCAAATGAGCCTGGAAAAATAAACGAATTAAAAAAAAAACTTAGTTTATTCTTTTTTGAGCAGCTGCACTTTGGCCGATATGACTGGATTCTACTTAAATTTGGGTAGTTTAGAAATAGGCGCTGCCCGATTAATTCTGGTTTTGACACGTTGGTTTGGCTCATAAACAACCAGTCCGCATAACTCTCTTATTCTATGCCTTCAATAGGCTAAACGTAATCAGCTAGGAAGAGGTTAAGAAAGCGCAAATTGAACAAGCAATTTATAAATGTTGACATCATGTCTAAATTCAGTTTCCCATTGTTACCTTCTCATTCTTCAATAAGCGCACCGAGGAGCTAGTCATAACTATTATTTTTTAAGCTGCTCGGACTATGAGTAACAACAGCAGTAACTAAGAACTTACTGCTTAACTTAATAGATAATTTAATGCTGAAACACTAATAATGTCTTATGTTGAGCATGAAAGTGCTATCGTTTCAAAATGATCTCAAAATCTACTTGAAAATTTTGTTGAATTAACCTCCTTTGTCGCTGCCAAAATATTCCGGTCCGGAATGTCCGGTTCTACCCGGTGTTCAATGATCGCATATCGAACCAAATCTCCTTACCCAAACTCACAGAAGAGAGAAGGAGAGAGAGAGAGATAGAAAAAAAATCATTCACCTGTCTTCCGTTCGGCTGGGGTCAGCAGTTTTCAGCTGCAGTCAAAACCAAGGGCCTGCTCAATTTCTAACAGCCCCAAGTGAATGAAAATTCCACATCGGTAGCGTAAACAAAGCCGAAAATATCGTTTCCCGCATGGGTGTGCATAAAGTTGGTCGCAACCGCGGCGGAGGAAGAAGACACTCAAGATTTGGAGAAAAAGTCGCTCGAAACTGCACCGCACAGCACTCAGTCACGTCAGTGCACCCTGTGGTGATTTTTCGGCAACAACGGGGAAAAAAATAAACCAAGCGGTTGTTGATTGTTGCCGTTGGGGAGACGTTTGGTCTACGGTTCGACCGGGTCGGAAAAGTGATACAAACATTTCCACTGTTTGATCATCATCGTGACGATCGTTTAGAAAAACTGTCGGTGCTAAAGGTACAATACCTATCGGTAGCAACCGAGTGGAAATTTTCACCGAAATGTACAAATTGTTAAAATTAGCTGTCACATCGGATATTCAATATCCCCCTCTCGCTGCGCTGCCGGTTGGATGTTCCAGGTATGGAACGCCAGCTCCGTTGCGCGATAAACAAACGTGGGAACGACGACGCTCAGGAATGTGTTTTTGCGTGGTCACCCCGTAGTCGTCGGTGTCCGTTAGCAGCCGAGGATGCACTGAAGGCCGACTTCGCGCTACCTGAACCCCTCAGTCTCTCTCTCTCTACCCGCTACGATTTCCGTGACACCTGAACGTTATCGTTTTGCGGAAGCATCTCCCCTAGCACAATCCGATCCACCCGGACGTCCCAGTCTGGTCACGTGGATTCTCGTTGCTTGGATCCCAAAGTCCCGTACCCGTATGTATCTTTGCCGTATTCGGAGTTAGAGTTAATAATAAAAAGCACAGAACGCACACACTTACCGTTTGCTTTACTTGCCTCGGAGCAATCGGTCGGCTGGAAGAACCGAGCCGCCGGCAATGCATTGTCATCCTGATCCTGAACGTCGATGGCAATGCCGAAGTTGCGGTTCGGTTTGTCCCACAGTTTAACGGCCAGCAGCGTGTCCAACGTGATCCAACCGCGAAAGTTGCGGGTGATGGTGATGCTGCTACAGATGCGCTTCTTACGCTCCGTCGAGAGGTTATCTACATACACACGAAAGGATGAAAATTCAATTCCCTACGATCGTCATTCCACACTTACCCTTGCTCTTCTTGCGCCAGTACACGGAAACGGTAACGCGAATCATCTGCTCGGCCGGGTTCTTGCAGTTATCGGAGTCGCGGCGATTCCACGAATCGGTCGAATTATCGGCGCCGTTCATGTACAACCTTAATGCGGGCGATACAAGTGCCACTCGCGTTAAATAACATTCTACGCCGTCTCAATTGGTTTGGAACTTACCTCAACATCGCTGTGCTAACCGAAGTGTAAGGCTTACTATGGGGAAGACGAAAGTATAGATTCCAGGTGTAATCGTCATCCCAGAAGCTCTGGTTGGTGTGCTTCGGCAGGTCGCACACCGCGGAAAAGGCCATCTCGTGGGTGGCGCCAACGTTGCCCAGACTATCGTTCCGCATCAGGTTCGATTCGATGTTGTGCTTGATGTTGCCGATGATGTGCTTCTCGATGCTGCAAAGGAGAAAGGAAGGGAATAGGTAACTGAGGTGTACTGATTTACGAACATTTGTCAATATGCTGGCTTGACATCATACAATCATATGGAATTTGGAGAAGCGTTTCCACCTCCAAGGGAAACCACACACCCACCACCGGCTATTTTGGGATATAGAAATTCCTCGCAGTCTCCGACAACGGAATTCACATTCATTGATTGAGTTATGACCCGCTTCGTGACGTCAACATTCCTCCTACAACACTTCCACACCTGGCGCAAGAACGTGAGAGCAGCTGACTAATGCTCGTTCTCTTGGTAACAGTACCGATCATCCCTCGTTCGATTTCCGATCCGAGTATATGGATCTGGATTAATCTTTCAAAAGGGCAACGGATTAACTCCAAGCTGATTAATAACGGTGTATGATTCACAATTTTTCAAATAATGCGCCACGATACAACTCATCGATCGGCATGTCGTCGGGAAAAGAAGGGACGGTATTAGATATGACAAACTGTTGACAAAACACGACTTTCGGCAGCTAATTTATGATCGTACCGCGTGCACTGCCGACAGTCGCGTTCCGCACGCTTACTCACAGCTGATACCGACGAGAGATGACGATGCTGAGCTGGTTCTGCTCATCATAGCAACGTGGCACCGTAGTCCCACCCACCCACTATTTTCTGGTTTATGTATGCGTCGTGTCCAAACTTTGGTCAACATTTGCCGAGTAGGTGAGCGTCCAAGTGTCTGGGGGAGAGGTAATTTAGAAAGCTGCTTGCTTGCCGGTTTAAGCGCTCGTGTTGCTACTAATTTGGCGAACCGGATTGGGGTGGATTTTTCCATGACTGTATTTCGTAATTTTCATCGCATGTCTCCCATTTGTGCGCTCCCCCTTGATGCCGCAAAACTGAAGAAGCCATGTAGCATATAAGAGGGAATTGAGTTGACTGGTGCGGATGAGAATCTCAGTTTGCAACAATGTGATCACAAGGTTTTATTGAGCTATCGTCAATCGGTAGACACGTATTTGTTTGATAGCCGGAAGTTGAAAGGAGAAAAATGTTGCAGTTCCAAAATGTAGCTGAGAAATGGACCCTGCAGCTGAATTACGGCACGCAATTTTTTTCGAAGAGAAGAAAATCATCACGTTGAACCCCAATGAACCAAATCTGTTCTCTTCGAAGAAACGGTGTGCCGGGATTCAGCTACTGAGGACATAAGCGGTAAATTAAATTTGAGCAATACTGGGTCTTTTGTCCAGAGCACCAATTCCAAGGTGTCTGCATCGATCTTCATATGGTGATAGGATTAATGCATCTTGCTATGGGAGGTGACTGCCGTACCCAAGTAACATTGCAAGCTTTATAGAGGTTCTATAGCATTATACACTTCCTATTATCGCATATCAGTCCCATATGGATTTTCATCAATTTTGAAATAGTTGATAGCAACTATCAATCTTTTAATTTTGTCGGAATCCCTTTTTTGAAGAGCGTAACACACTCAAAAAGCTCTTCAGCAACTATCTACTATCATATTATGTGATAAACTACGGACTTTGAAAACAACATGAAGTCAGTTTGTCCCATCAAGCAAAGTAATCGCATATCAGTCCCATCCTTGAATTCAATCGCCCAGAGGGGAAATTACAGTTCTGCTTTTCGAAATGCCATATTTTTCACTGATATAACATAACATGCAAGTTAATGCAACTGATTTTAACTTGAAAAATATCAATAAATTTACTACGATTTTTCAAATATTTACATGGGAATCGCATTTTGTAACTTCGACTGCCATTTTCTCAATCAGGTTGCCTTCCATTCATTTGGACATAATACCAGCAAATTTTGCTACATGAGAGTCGCAATAAGCAATTTGGTCATTTATCTCACCCACTCTTCGCTTTTCACTCTTCGCGAAGAGGCGATCAGAAAATCGCTTATTGTGACTCTGTCAAACACAAACTTTACAATCTTTTCTTGTTAATTAGACATACAAAATATCATTATAATATCTTATTATTCCATAATTTCATAAAACATTTTTTTAGTCAAAATGAATGGAAGGCACCCTGTTCTCAATGCCTACTTTTGACGTAGACTACTGGTACTGGGGGTAAAGCGAAAATCTAAAATTGCGACCGTCACGAAAAGGTGTAAGGTTTTGAACGCTTATAACTTTGTCATTTATAGATGAAATTAAAATCCAAATACACCAAACGATAGGAAATAATTATCAAAATCTGCTACAATAAATATTTTTCCAATTTTCTATAAAAAAAATGTGGAAAATGTACAAATAAAAAATGATAATTTTATCACTGTTTTCATGAAATCAACGTTCTCCCCAAACCCAGTACCATTTGGTTTCACATCGTGCTGCTTGAATCTGAAAAGTTATAAAAATGCGTTGCTTTTGTGCCTCAACTCATTTTCGCTTCGGACGCAGGTAGGACTTCTTCAGAATGCTATAAAAAAAAATGCAAAATGTTGGTATTTATCGTGCATATCTCGCGATCAGAACATTTAGCTTGAAATTTCGTGCGTTTTGTGAACGTACATCCATTATTTTGCATAAGAAAACGGGGTGTTTCTGTGGTGGGAAAAAGGATTTCCCTGCACAGATTACGGATTTGTGTACCAAGCACTGAAGTTATCAGATGGGACCTCAATTTATACTTTTAGAGTACCTGTGTAAGTCCATCCTACTTGGAAAATTATACTACAGAACGGTTTATAAAAAAAGGGCCTTCTTGCAATGATCGGTTCTCTTCATCGATTTTCTCATTACATTGCTACAGCTTAGTAAACAATTCAAGCTGAACATAGCATTAGCTCCTGAGTAACATTGACAGATTCTCTTCGTCAACTTTCTCCTTGTATCCCCTCGGCCATGTAAAGACATTCACACGTATTTTCAGCACGCAGATCGATACTTTTACCTAGCATCTAATACGACAAATACAACAAGAAACGGCTATGTACCCAAGTTATTATCGAAAGAGAAAGGTGGCGGCCAGGGTAGACGCGACACGCAACGCAACGCGATGTGACTCACGCAAGAAATAATAATAAATGTCGACGAAGTGAATCAATGTTAAACTTAGGACCTAATGCAATGTTCAGCTTAAAAAATTATCTGAAATTTGTTCAATTTAGTGCTGTGACCTGTAACAAGTTGTATTGGCTATCAAAAGCAACAGCAAACGCAACGAGATATGTTAATCCAAGTGAGTTATTAAAAAAAGAGGGAATCGATCATTGCGGTTAAGGCCTAGACGCAATGTAGGCGGAAGCGGAACGGAAACGGCAGGTTTGACAGTTGTCACAAATGATAACAAGATGCCTAATCGAAGTCGATTTGGTTTTAATGGGCTTACAAGTGGGCTTACTCAGATCGGGCTTTTCCACTGCCGCTGCCGACTAACTACGAAATTTGCATAACATTGGTGCAAAACACAAGGAGTTTCAATTTCATGAATGATGTCACAACCATCCATGATTTGTGCCCTAGAAATCTTGAAGTGATAGGTAATATCAGCCATCATGACAATCATCGTTGGACGCTTCAATGAATCACCTGAAGTAAGCCTTACTCATATCTGATTGTAATTTAGGAACCAAATGTAATAGAATATGTATTCGCATTTTTATGAGGTCCTGAATTTAAACAAATTTAATTAAATAGGAAATCCAAAATATGTACATAGGACCGAAAGCATAGGTTACTTCCACTGTATTTTAAATCAATATCTACAAAATTCACGAGAATTTCACTTTACAGCTAAACGTAGTCTACGTAGTCTGAGTTTGATGAGATGGTCGAAGGGAAGGACAGCTCCTTCGACGCATGCTGCTAAACCTGCTGTGATTCGGATTGCTCTTTGATATACAGGAGTGAGTTTCTCGATGAGGGTTGTTCTGGACATACAGGTTAGTTCAATCCCGTGGGTGAGTCGTGTGTCGATGACGGCTTTGGAAATCCGGATCCGGAGGTGACGATTGCTGTCTGGGTGGCGTCTGGCGATCGAGCGAATGAGGTTTAACCTCGACCCGGTTGAGTCGACCGACATTTAGATCTCACTTCATCGAAATGAGCCACTTTTACTCATTCGTATTTAGGACTGTCTAAAAGCGTAGTTCATTCATGCGCTGAGAGTGACCTACGCTTTCAGGAATTTATGCATACGAATGAGTAAAAGTGACTCACAACTGTGTAAAAGTTACTCTCTCTCTGAGTTGGATTCATTTTCCTTGTACAAGGCGACGAAAGGCCAAACGAAATGTGGGCGTTACCACAAATTACATCAAGATGCCTAACCGAATTCGATTTGGTTCTAACTAGTTTTCAATCTAAAAAGTAGGCTTACTCAGATCGGGCTTTTCCGCTACCGCATTGCGCTTGGGCCTGAACACTCCTTCATAGCACTCGGCAGTCAAACGATGACTGCAGTCACATTTTCTACGTTTCCCTTACTTAAGCATTTAGATTAGCATACTAAGCCCCACCTTTTTTTTGTATTTTGCTGATGTACGTCAATGAATAGAAAAAAGCAAAAGAATTGAAATTGAGTATTGAGTGGCACCGATTAGTCTCTCCGTTCTTTCGAGCGAGCACGTGATCGGTTTTCAATAGTTAACCGTTGATAAGCAGCCATCATATTTAAACCAAACAAATCTTACATTCAATCTGAATAAAATGGTGTAATTAAAATTGAATTTCATTCAGAAATGACCATGTTATATGCGTTCAAAACTTGACACTATTTCGTCACACTGTTTTTTTATTTGCTCCCAGTATAGTCCACAAAGACGTAGTCCTACGTCAAAAACTGTTTTTAGAGGCACCCTAAGTCAATTAAGGAAAATTGATCTAAATCTGCCAAATCAAAAGATACTTGTTTGTTTACGTATAATTGGGTAAAATTTACAGTTAATTTGTTTTACAAAACATGCGCTTCACAAGTTTCTGCAAATCGACTTGCATTTTTTAAATAAAATAGTAG